TAACGAGGTAACGAGCCAACACTTAGTGAGAGCGATGCAGGCGGTAACGGAGAAGGAGAAAGAATGGGTTGAGTAAGAGTGAAGGAAGTAAGGGAGGTAGATGGAAGCTGAAAGATGAAGAAAAGCATTACGTTGCGAAGTGAAGTGCATCCGTATCTGATGGAGTAGCAAATGTGTTTGTTTGTCTGCATCAACTTTTAGACTTTGTATTAATCAAGTTCAATACTTTCGTTTATGCAAAAGCTTTCCCTCCACAAGAGTACTATATTTTCAGCCTTTACAAAATTATGGAGTTTTGTTACTGCATCTACTGTTTATGCTTTATTGCGAACAAAAGCCGTTAGAGACCATTATATGGTTCATAAACTTGAAAATCTATTGCAAAAATGACAAAAGCAAAAGAGCATAATTTATTCTTTTTTCCTTGCTTTAGCTCTTCTTCATTATACCTTAATTTTCGAAGTTAGTCTGTCTAACTATTCCAAAAGAGTCTCGTGTGAAGAAACGTGCCTTCCACTGCATACATGGTCTTCGGTTCGATCACGCGTCTTGAACCACTAATCTTTTCGTCCCTTCAGGTTTGTCCATCACATTTATCTCTGACGATCTTAGGATCAAATGTGAAGAGGAGTGACCAATTGCTGATCATCCGCCGACTGTGTACATTCCTCTGAATAATCCTCTACAATGTAAAAATTTGAGGCAAAAGTGTAATGAGTAATTTTTTTATGAAAATCTTAGCTAGTGTCAAAAATTCTGTAAGAAATGAATTTTGCTTTAAGTTTAGGTGAAACAGATTTTCTTTATAAACTCAGTGTTCAATGTGCGCTATGACTGAGTGCTGCGAAAGTTGAGAGTCTATGTAACCGCATTAAAGCCACTTGCAACATTTTCAATCCTTCGCTCGTGGATTTTATTGATATTATTCTAATCCTCAGCATTTCTACAATGAAGAAGGAGGTGATGTTCAAGTCGTTATTCGCTGATTGTACCAGGTGCTTTTTTTTCGTCAGAAGAAAATTATCTCTTTTTTCATTATATGGTGATGCGCAGATTATTTTGGTTCTTATTTTGAGTATGTTTATTGTACTATCATATTCAGTTTTCAATTATTCGTTGGAAAAGAATAACGTAAAAAATGATGTCAAAAGCGAAAGGACCGTTAAGCCAAAATTACAGAGAATTTTCGATAAACAATCGTCAATATTATCTCCTCAGTTATTCAGAACGAGATTTCCTATGTCCTCTACAATTTTCACGCCACACCCACTCCATCGCTCCATTAGCGACTGCGTTAGTCGGTGAACCTTCTCGATTTTGTTGACGACTTTCACTCCTGCTCGCTTTCACTAAGGAACCTTTACTTGTCCGTGGACTTTTCTTTTGCCTATAATTCAGCGAATAGTATCCCCAGTACTTTCAGTGCATGCGTAGGATCATAGAAGATCGCATTTTTATAGATTTCTTTCTATAATTTCACGATTTTGTAAGCAAAAGGTCAGTAAAGTAGCAGCCCATGATTTCGATTAGACTTTGAAACGAGGATATTCCTGGAACTTCTTTGGTAGTCCTTTTGGCAAACACTACTATTTACTATGGGTTGAAACAAGAAAAAGTCTCTCGAATAATGATTGCTACGATGTTTATTTCTGATCGAGACAGCGAATGAAAATGTCGACTCCCTACTGAGATTGCGAGACCACCTGCTGTGAACGTCTTGTAGTACATCGTGTTTTAACACTATGAACATCGTTCAGTTCTGATAAGGCTGTAAACCATCGTGCTGAATGGTATCTAATATATATTATACTGATCACAGTCTACTTTTTGTTTTAAAAACTCCTTTAGATGCCTTTTTTCAAATGTGCTTGTGATCATATCATTGCGATTTCTTGGTTCTGTATGTTTACCTACACTGTCGACTTTGCAATGAATCATTGCACTCGGCGTGCAACTTTTCTGTGGTCGTTTTTTGACAAGCAAGAAAGACCGCCTTCTCCTACTAGAAAGTGAAAGTTCAGTTTATCACCTTTAATCAATTCAATACATAAAATTGCTAGATGATCGCTTCAAATTTACTAGTAAGACATCTAAGTTGTAAGTGGAACTTTCGATATCGAAATGAACGAAAATTCTCATGGAAGTTAAATTCAAAGAAGTGAAAACAGGCTTTGAAATTTAATTTGAATGAGACTTTACAGCAATTCGTGCATGACAAAACAATTTAGGAAAAGTGTAGTTGATTTAATTGATTTGGGACTAGAATTCTTTCAATTTAACCACAGATCAACAGCATAAGTAGTGTAATGGTTAACACGCACCTGAGGAGAGTGAGAACAGCGGTTGGAATCCCGTCTGACGTTCATATGTATATCGACTCAACATTATTAGATAATGGTGGAGATTTGAGATTCATTTGAAGAATCGCAAAGACTCGCTTTATGCGGCGAAGCAACATGTCTGTTCTGAGAGATTCCAGTAACTTTTTGGTGTACCCTGATCAACACAATCAATTAGAGTAAGCTGACTATCTGATGAATAACACTAAAAATCGAACATGTGAAGTCCCAAATGAGGAGATCACTTGAGTAAGCTAAACTCATCAAGCCAATGAGCAGCACTGGCGTGTTGTGTAGGCGAATGGAGAATTTGTTTATGCTTATTCAAGTTACATTATGGTCAACGAGTCACCTAATGAGACGTTAGAATGAGAAGAGTTAATAAGCACTGTTAAACTGAAGATTATTCTCGTTACCTTCAATTGATTTCGAGCTGTAACAAGATACTAGTCAGTTCCGAACAAGGTACACTAACGCTAGTTCACGTCAGCTATATTAACTTGGTGTTCTTTTTACTGTTGGATCAAAACACCTGCGAATATCAAAGACACGTCCGTACGTTACAAAAACGGCAAATGATAGATTGAAGATATTATTTCAAGGCTGAAATAACATTGCGTGAATTAATCATTTTTTGAATTGGGCAAGCAAACTCGCCAAACCGCCCTTTTTTAACGGACCGCATATTTTAAGTTTCTCTATCACCCACCAGGAACAGATTATATAACAGTTTCATACATACACAATATTCTAAACTCTACGATAAGGAAAATTGTTCGATATCGCAAAAGTGACCCAGTCAACGATTTTTAACCTCACAGGATGCGCTGCGATGGTGAGAGGCACCCTACACAAATAAATGCTCTCTAGTTTGATCCGACGCTCAGATGATCAAGCTATCTATAAATCCAGGACGGCAATATAGTGGCAGTAAAGTCTGATTGTTACTAATTTAGTACCTTAGACCACATGCATACAATCGCAGGACTCATTGAAGTTCCACGAAGAAACAAAAGACTGTCTCACTTTCACCTATCTAAATTCAAAAAAGTCTTTGATTCGAAGAAAACAAGCGGTAATAGAGGCTTCAAATAGCCAGGGCGTTCCTAATCGTTGTACAACGAACCCTCGTGGGCTATAGGGAGGTTTCACAGCCAAGATACCGCCATTCTATGACAATATCACCATCGACGCGAGAAGAGGAGTTCGACAAGGCAATAAAATTTCACAAAAATCATTCCCTGCAATCCTCCAAAATGTCATACGAACGATAGAATGGGACTATACGGGAGAAAAAATCGACGATCAATAATTAAACCATCTTCGCTTTGCTGACGATATCGTCCTTATAACACCAAGCATCAGCCGTGCGGAACGAATGCTAACCGACTTCGACAACGCCTGTGGAAGGATTGGTCTCTGACTAACTCTAACAAAACGACGCTTATGAGAAACGGATGGGGTTTTGAGTGCCTCATTCACGCTCAACGAAAAGAACATCTCCGAATGCTCCACTTATGTCTACCCAGGTCGTAAAGTGCATATAATGAACGACATAGCTCAATAGTGGAGCAGGAGAAAGCGAGTGGCTCGAGGAGCGTTTGAAAGCATCGAGGATATAGTGAAGAGAACAAAGAACATCCGTCCGTACCCGCCTTTTCGACTCGACGATTATCCCTGTCCTAACGTATGCAGCAGAAACCTGGTCGCTACGTAAGCAAGATGAAAGATCACTTGGCGTTATTGAGCGCCTAGTCGAAAGGTTGATACTAGGAGTGTTCCGTATCTCGCAAAAGAGAAAAGATCCGAAGATACGACCTACGTCAACGAACGAAAACCGGAGACCGTTTCACACATCTGTCTATTGAAATAAGGTGGGTCGGACACGTAATGCTCTTCAACGACAACCGATGGACAAGAGCCGTTAGCGACTGCTTCTTTGGGATATCAAGTGCTCTGCTGGAGGACCACCGATGCAATGGTCAGATTTCTTCACGAAAAGCCTGGAAGAACGATACAATGCTCAACGAATCACTAAAGCAGGGAGGACCCACTGGGCTACTTTGTCAAGAGACATTAAAAGAAGGGAGTGTTATGGCGCCCTCTCGAATCACTCGACGATCAACGGGACGACAGGTGAGAGAGGTGAAAGTTTAATTGATCGAAAATCACTTGGATAGTTGAGCAGTAGGTCAACATAAGTCATGTTGTGAACCATTCATGCACTCGATTACTCTCTGCAGTGTTATTAATAGAATCAAATACATAATATTTCAGAGACTGATCACCACCTAACTCTGTAACGTTCACTTTCTAAATTTAATACTCTAGGATTTTAGTACTTTTACTGCTTTATACGCAGTGTTGTGATTATACATAAATACCTAAGAAAATTGGGTGATGAGCAAGAATACGTCCTCAGGTGGCGGTCGAACCCACGTTTCATCCGTACCGTAAACGCTTGTTACCACTACACCACCAAAGCGCATTTGCGCCAATACTCATTCTCAAATATTTCTGCGTCAGCTATTCCATCCAATTGAGCTGACAGCCACTATTAGATGTTATACTACGGAATTCTAATATTTTTACTGCTTTTTTTTTCGCAGTGTTATGATGTTACATATATACTTAAGAGAATTGAGTGGTGAGCAAAAATACGGCCTCAGGCGGGAGTCGAACCCGCGTTTCATCCGTACCGGGGACGCGTGATACCATTGCACCATCAAGGTACCTTTTATTTACTTCTTTACTTTTCACATTTTATTTACTTACTTTACTTATTGTTTTCTTTTTATTGTAGTCTGAAAGGATGTTTTGTGTCCTTTCGGGTTGGTTTCTTAGTGGCTGTACATTTCGCAGTCGCTTGCCCCATTAGAGTTACACGCTTCACTAGTGGCTACTACTGATAGTAGGGAACGGAGAAACATGTTAAGTTCAAGCAAGAGTAAACTGTCTGAACCATTTTTCAATCGATGACGACTATTATGATTTTTTGCTTATGATTCGTTTTACTTCCAATTCATTTTTTTACCTTGCATTTCTCCAATGCACAGTGAATAATGGTTTCAGAGTATTACGCAGGTTACTCTACAAAATTCTCTTTACTTCTAATTTGTCAGTTTCATTTCCTCCATCTGGGGCCCATTATAGTAATGGATAATTCTATGGTTACTCTGACCTCACTAATAAACGCCCTTTCGGAATAATAGCATTGAATGTCAGAAATAATAATGAAAATCTGATGTCCGAGACCCGCACCCAGTGAGACAAGATTAGAAACGCTGCCCTCCCGTACAAATGATGATATCGAGCACTAAGCGGTCTGAAGCTTTGTACGTATTGATTATAGCAGCGATTTGGGGCATGGGCTTTTAGCGACTGGGTTTGAAGGAATATCATGCTGCTCAACAAAAACATCATCGATACGAAGACTATTGACGAGGAATACGATGCTCTTCATAACCCACTGAGTAAGCAGGACCTGTGTATGCCGTGTAAGAAAACGAATTCTCTTCTCCTATCGACTAACAGCTTTTGATGACTAACGGACAAGCAGATGACACAGGTGATACGCCACCATGTAACTCATTTTCAGTGTTCTTAGCAGTTGCAACGTTCATGATCACAATCCCCTCAAAATTTTCACTGCCATGTCCGTCTCCAAACTTCAATCTAGAATCGCATTGTATAGTCATATGTCCCTTGCAAGCCGCTTTTACAGCATGTTCTTGTTCCTACTAAAGGATGAGGAATATAGCCTTTTTTCTTCCCCAAAAAATTCAAGATCATTCGATAATAAATCACAATCATAATGTCAATATTACAAAGCGATTTCTTCGTTTGATATCGACAAAGCGCTCTAGTTTCATAGTGTTGACATTGCAATGATGTGATTTGTTTAGTGAAGAATTACATTACGATATGGTTGAGATGGACAAGTCGCACCGCCTTCAATTGTTCTCTACCAAAAACTTATAACAGTTACTTTCAAATGAAAGAAAACCTCCAAGATGTCTATAGCAATGTAAAAGTTTGAGAGATCGACTTCTATTAACGTCAGCATCAAAGTTAATTAGTCAAATATAAAAAAATTAGCTGTTCAAGCTGGTGCGAGGTTCGTAGTTATGACAACGTTGTTCTCGATGTTGTTTAGATTACAGTACGAGTACTTGGCTGACGTATCGGCGTCACCGCCTTCTTCAGAGTCTGGACTACAACAACATCGTTACAACTACGAATGTTGCGCCAACTACAGCAACTAAGATTTTCATATCTGTGTCACTGTTTTGTGAGTTATATTTAGAATTTACATAGGATCACCAGACGTGGTCTTCCTCTGACCTGAAGGCGATTAAAAAATCTTCAAGAGATATGTTATCTCGCTTGCATTTTTTTTGTCTATCGCGTTTATGTTTCCGAGTGGAAAGGTTTTTTTTTGCCATTGTAGGCGTTTTTTTTAATTCTCATCAGTACATAGTGACTCATCAAACCTGTTCTCTTTTATCTTTCGTTGATAACTTCCGAGCACAACATTGGCTAAAAGTTTCCTGATTTTTTAAGATGGAGTACAGATCGTTAAAGTAGTCCGATTTTTGAGAGCACTCATACCTTCGATAGCAATCCTGTTCTCATCGGTATCTTCTTTACAGTTGTTTACCTTGTCAACGTTATCTAAGCTAATGTCTGCGACAATTTCCGAGTCGGAGAAAAAGAGATGTACAACAAAGTCCGATGAGGGCGTCGAAGAGGCTGAGGACAGGATCGGACTGTCTATAAGTTCCGGTCTTGGCGACAATCTCGGAGCGTCAACTTGAGTGGGGGGACACTTGGTCGGTGTTTCTGTGCGTTTGCGGAAATTCATGGAAATCTTATTGCTTCCTTAAAGTCAGGAGCAGTTTTCTAATCGGGAACGAGACAGTGGAGTAATTAGTGACATAGCACTTCAGTACAAAAGATGCTGAATTCGATCACCTCCCAGCAATGAACATTGTAACGCTTTAGATCAGCTATCCTTGAGATTACAAGGAGAATCGGCTCAACTAGCATTCTACGATATTTGTGAATAAGACAAGTTTTCAAGAAGTAAGCCTAACCAACATGCAAAATGCTTGAAGTCCTTTCGAGGAGGATATGTGAGAAAACGAAGCGAACTCAGGAAGTAATGGAATCCGTACAGTAAATGTGATGACTGATCTAATAAAACAAAATAAAAGGGGAAATGTTCTCTACTATATTCACTGCGTTATAAGAGACATAATGATGAGTAATGAAAAGATGTCAAATAAAATAAATAGGGTAAAAAAAACTGCATAGAAATGGAATGTGAGAAAAGTAGAAAGTGATTAATATTTACTAGATGAGTCATTGTGAGAGCTGTTTCTGAAGAGTGTTTGATTTAAGCTGGGAAATTATGAGGAAGGACATTGTTCCTTACTTATTGTGATGCTCTGACGAATCACTAGACATCATCTTTTTCTTTCTAGGTCTTCCTCAAAATGTCTATCTAGTCAAAGGCCTTTTCACTGTCTCTTGACATCTGTCAAGACCATTCAACTAACATTTCTTTTCCACCAGCTCTCCTCGACGTGAAACAGTACCCGGCTTCCTGATTCTCGACATTTTAGTCTATGAATCAGTCTCGATCTTTGACCTAACCCAGCTGTCGTGAATGAGAATTTCACTTCCCTCCTGTTACCTGCGCAATGCAGGGGGTTGCTATTATTATCCTCTCAGTAAAGCATTCGGTAGCTCCGATTCTGGTCGTTCGTTTTTCTGGTGGCGGTTCCCGTTTTCTGAGACCACTATCAAGGTAGATTGTCATCTAAGAGAAGCCCATTAGACCCATAAGAGGTCATTGAGAAGCAAGATTGAGTGATGTAATTTTGAGAAATTTTTGTCATTCACTATTGATTACTTTTATTATTTGATTTTCACTTGACATCTCAATATGTTGATCTAGCATCTATCAGGTTAATGCAAGAGTTAGGACCAAAAATAAGTCTCCAAGACAATTTAAACAAAAATCGTTCTATTTGTTTACTCCGTTTACACTCAAATTGCTTTGCGAGAGGTTATTGTAGTCATACCACGGTTGTTACTTTTCTACTGTCTTAAATGTTCTATCAGAGTCTAAACATGTTGCGTTATGTACGACGTGAGAACTTCTGAACGGTTTTTTACTGTTCTCCTACTGTGTCTTGCGATAGCGAGTCATGAGAAGGCAAGCAAAACAGTTTGTGTGCATATGCACTCCTGTAGAAATTGGGAGTCATTGCCATCTAGCGATTCATTGCACTTTGTGCATTAAAAATTTTAGAATCAAAATAAAATATCAAGAAATAGACATATGGTCAAGGGACATAGAATTGGATGGATTTCAGTATAGTATTATTATAGCTGAATTATTTCAAAGAGTCTAAAGGAAGCCCCAAAACCAATCATAAAGGGTTAAAAACTCATTCTGTAAGACCAGCATGTAGACGAGATGTTTACTGACCGAGTGGTTACGTGAACTGCAGCTGTATCTGGTAATCATGGATTGGTTTTTGTTGGAGTAAGTGACAATCAATAAATGACTGATAAATTTTGTTCCAGGAACTATTCAAATTATCGACAAAATTTCTCAAGTGCAACTCAATTAGCTTTACAAGTTTCCTTGGCAATGAAATTGCAGTTAGACATATAGACTAATTGAAATCTTTGTAAAAATCGCATTTACTTTGTCTTACTAAATCAATACTGTACATATTCCACACATTTCTCATTTCGTTTCAGACTTCATCCATTTTTCTTCATTCTAACTTTCTACGCTCACTCACCCTTCTCACCGTTATCACTTATACGTAAGTCTAAAAGTAAATCAAACACAAAAAATCACTTAACAAGTAAACCGCGCGAGCTAAATACTACCTTGGAATTGCCAACTCGTAGGCGCGTTTTGATCACCTTCTGAGACAGAAACTACTTTGTAAGATTTCAGTTAACGAAAACTTTTGTCTTAATGCAGAAATTTCGTTACAATTTCACGGCTGCTCCTTCCAATACTACCCTTTTAGCGTAATTAAAATTTCAGTCGGAGTATTTTTCTATTGAATTGTTTTTGGTTATGCTCACGAAGTGTTGGTAAAGACTGCCTCTGGAAAATAAAAATAAAACGATTAGAGACTTCCTTAGCGCTTTCCCTATGTTTTTTCGTCATCTTCCTCGACGCCGTAAACTATTGGTTAAACGAGTGTCTTTGCAATCTCGAGGATAACCTGGCTGTGGACATTATACAAGATTTTGTTGTTAACTGCCGGAGAGGGTTGGGTGATGGGGCTCGGCTCCACGAGCGCCGCAACGAGCATCGCAATCACTCGGCCACGGCGTTCCATATATATGGTGATGTATATATACGTACACATATATACAAATGTATACAGATGAAGTTGGAAATTTCGGCTTGTAATGAAGTTTTTGTGCGAAATTTGGACGCCCTTAGTGGAAAATCTGAACGTCCTTAGTGAGAACGTCATTCATTCGTTATGATTACCGATTCAAATCAAAACAGATCCTTATGTTCTTCATATTTGCCACGATAAAGCAATGCGATATTGTTAGAATGATATAGTGTTATGATAAAAGTTCTGGTTCGTAATTATTGCATTTTAGTAGCAGTACATAAAACTTGTATGGAAATCATTTGAAAATGTATTTTTGCTTCATATATCTCAACTTGTAATCTCTCGGA